AACAGACCCTCCTAAATGTTACACACTGGACCTTTAACAAAATGTTACCACTGTACACATACCACACACACACACATACACAAGCGCGCACACACACACACTCTGATCATAACTTTACTGTATGTAACCTTATGCATATGCACATATTTAGTAATTTTAAGAGAATTGTAAATATGAATGTACATGTCAATTAGATCATTAGGGCTCAAATTATATTTTTGTGAATCTTTTAAGCCCTCTTTGTGTGTGTGTGTGTGTGTATGTGTGTATGTGTGTGTGTGTTTAGTAAGTTGGGTTTCTTCTGCTGCACTTACTGTAGGACTTCTTCTACAGTCCCATGAGCCCTGACCCAAAAACTCTTTCCTTCAGAGTGATGCTGTGATTTAAGGCAGGATAGGCAGAAAACACACACACACACACACACAATAACATCTAGTGTCAATAAGAGAGCCAAGGACAAAGTCACCTACTTGGATTAATGGCAACTGACAAACACACATCAAGTTATTATTATTTATGCACAACTTGTGAATGGGTAAAAGCTCTACTGAGGCACTGAGAAGTACAGCTACTTGGTTAATAATAGATTAACTAACCATTTTTTTCAATTCAGTGCTCTATTTGAGTTCACAGAGTGAGACACATAGTCAGTGTCAGTGGACGAACTGCAGCCAGTGTCACCTGATGTCAGGTGAGGGACAGGGGCTCACCAGTAATATCCTTTTGCAGCATCTGCATCTGGTCACATGTGGATGTTCAGGCACATGTAGGCAGCTTCCCGGGGGTTCACACATCACCTGTCTCAGTTTGTCTCATTACTGAAGAGGTGCTCCAGCTGACATTCAAACCCCAGCCCCAGGCTGTCCTTGTACCCCTACTCTATCCAGCTGCTGCTTCCTCCAGCTAACACACTCATCATCACCAGTGTGGTCAGCCTAAATGTGGATTTTTTGGACAAGTAATGGAATTTTAATACCATGCATTACCATTTTCATTTCCTGTTTTACTTTTGGAGTGGACTGTCTGAGACTCATTGTCATTGAAACAGAATGCTGAACTACACTTTTTCAATTTGCTCCCTCAATTAAAAACACTGTGTATACACCCAATATAACATCAAGCTGCAACTCATAGTTTAAAAATATAAAAGAGATGCAAGTTACTGAATGCATGTCTTTTTATAGTTTTCCTGATCATTTTTAACTGTTCTTTTATTCTGACCAGGCCTGCCTGTATCTACCATTTTCAATACTTATATATACACCTTTGCTGAATACAAAAGATGTCCAGCACCTTCTTCTTCTTTTGCAGTTTGTATATTGCACATGCCATTTTTTCAATTTGGTGGGTGAAGCAAACTAATTTCAAATTGATTATTTCCACGGGCACAGATACAGTACCTCAGTCCCAACCTAGCTACAACCACTATATATATATATATATATTTATATATATAGTATCATAATATTCATAATAATCTAAATATTTTGTAATAATCAATTCTCAAAAACTATTTTGTGTTTAACCACCCCCCCAACTGCTAGATAGTAGTGTTGTTAATGTAAACTGAGGGTTATGATGTTGGATGTTACTGTGATAAATACAAATGCAATTCAGTATTGCAATACATTGAAGTGTAACCCTATCGTATCACCAGGTTTGTGTGCACAGCCCTACAAGAAGCTACAATCCAATTTCCAGCTATGTGTTGGCACTGACATTAATTCCTAGGTGATTTTCTTACAATCAATATGCATTAACATGTATAGATTAACACTTTAGTCTTTAAAATGTCCTTTGCAGGGTCTTGGACTCATGACCTCAGTATTTCTAAAGTCCTGGCTACGGCCCTGATTTTGTCAACTCACTCTGGCCATCCTATCTAGAAATCTGCCTGGCAATTGAACGTGGCTGTCACAGCTCTCTAATTTAAATGACTAAACACACTGCTTGTCCTTGCCCTCTGAAATGACACAGACATGTATGCCACTGACATTTACAAACGCATGTCTCTCTTTCTCTTCCACAATCACAACCACACACTAACACACAGCTCTCACTCTCTGCTGACTAACCTCACAGTTAAATGCCACCAGCTGATGTAAGCGTCACTGAACATCACTCTGTGTCAGAGTCCCCTGTGCTTCACCGCCTCTCTGTCATATCAAACACACACACACACACACAGATACACGCAGGCACAGATACAGTATATCACAGTGACATCCATTCAAAGTGTACAGAAAGCACTGGCAGCCAGTCGCAAGTTGGCCAAGTCAGCAACACTCATCAATAGTGAATCAACTGTTCACAGCTCACTCACAGATTTCTCAGTTGGGAAAAAAAGTCTCCTCTGCTTAAGCAGTCTTCAGGGACATGGAAATGTCAAAACCATGACAGCTCGTGTGTTATTATTTTGTAAGCTAATTAGATTAATTTTAGGGGCAAATTTACAGAACTTTATACTATCGTGATCGATGAACAATTGCTGTGCAATGAGCACTGTGCTACAGTGAAAAAGAGTGAGAACAGAAAGTGGACTTGATAAACAGACATTATTTCAATACAAGCAATACACAATCCAAAAACTCCATCCACTCCAGCTGACTCCATCAAGTTGTAAATATAAAATTATTTACAAAACAATTAGTTTGTAAGCATCTATGTATAGTCCTACACCAGGGCTAGTCGAGACCAAACCTCAAAAGGTTTGAGTCCAAGTCAAGGGCAACTTTTAACAAGACAGTCAAGACCGAGAGCAGAAAAAAGAATGCGTACGATTACAAGTGACAATGTTTTAGATGGATTTTAAATGAAGCCTGAACAACTGGCTTCATCGATGGTTTTGTTTTGAAAATAGTTCAGAAAAACATGCTGCTGGACTCAGTCGAGACCAGCTAGAATATTTAGGGAGGCCAATGGCCAAGTCCGAGTGCAAATACCAACAAGTTCAAGACAAGT